GGGACGGGGGAAATGCTGCATACCGGTCGGGTAGCTGACCGGCCCCGGACATGCCCCGCATACGGCGGGAGTGGCTCCTCCCTCTTCCTTCGAGCAGGGGAGGCGGCAAAGTCCGGCGCCCATTGATAATACATTGTAATGTATATCGGATCGGAACCATTTTTTTCCCATTGATAATACATGGGAAATCGGAGCGGGACAAAAATAGGCCATACTTAATACACTACACATCGGAGAGCGCCCGCCCCTCGCAATACTTAATACACGTACATCGGAGAGGGCCCGCCGCTCGCAATACTTAATACACGTACATCGGAGAGGGCCCGCCGCTTGCCATACTTAATACACGGTACATCGGAGAGGGCCCGCCGCTTGCAACACTTAATACACGGTACATCGGAGAGGGCCCGCCGCTTGCAATGCTTAATACACGCTACATCGGAGAGGGCCCGCCGCTTGCAACACTTAATAGACCTCGGACACCTTGCGCTGCCGGGTCACCCCGCCCGGGCGCCCGGCACGGTACGGGCGGGGCTTCGTCCGTGGCTGCCGGACTTGGGCGGGGACTTGATCTCACCCTCCCCGCCGGCGACTCCACCGCCGCCCTGTGGAGCTCCCGAGCGGGGCAAAGTCACCGAGCCGCCCCCTCTTTCCTCGGCACCTTCCCGGTGGCGGTACATGTACCGGCGGCCGGGCCCCTTCAGATTTCGTCTACTGACCGGTAAAGTGTTAACTTCCGAAAGGTATATAATTCTTGCCATTTACCATTAGAAAATTATAGAATTTAATTACACGAGTTGGGTCACAATTCCACAATTCAAGCCTGCGAAAACAAGCCTAAAGCCAAGGGTTTTCCATTTACTATAACATTTATTGTTTATTCCTATATGTCCAGGTTTACAGGTTATCAGAGGTCAATCAGCCCCATTATCAGCACATCTAACACGATGTTCCTGAGGTTTACATCTGACTACTTGTACGTCTATGCGTGGTTCAGCTTATACTACATGAGTAAGGCCTTTCATTACACGTTTCACAGTATACATTATATATGCTTTGGTGTACAGTCCAATACATACTGCTTTATTTTCTTTGGAATCTCAAAGAGGTTTTTGGTTTAAAAGTTTTTAAAAGGACTAATGCAACATTACAACGTGGAAGGGGATTATAACATTTTTTTCAGGCAGGACTGCAGGGCAATGCTGGGATCCCGATGTGCCAGCCAATGGGAACAGGGATAACAACAGTAACTTTACATCAGGACAGACAGTCAGGTACACCTGTATGGCCGGGTATCATCTGTGGGGAACTGCCAATATAACCTGCCAGTCTAACGGGACATGGAGTGATGCTACACCAACTTGTGAAGGTATTAAAATACATAATAGGCATCAAAGTTGGATTATCTGGCTTTCTGTATACACCCAAGACCGATAAGGGACTAATGCGGCATTGAGTCCTCTAAGGATTAAGTGTACCTTACACACTGATGTCAATATTTAAAGAAACTATTGATTGTTCCTGTTTATGTTTCCCTCATCTTACCTGAAAATATTCTTATCTAATCATAACAAACACGGCGGTCGGTCACTACGGCATTCTTTCCAATTGCTAGTGGCGTTCGATAAAGTGTCGGGTTACAAGACGCAATTTTGGGCTAGCCTTAAAGAGGCCAGTAATACTATATAAAGACCCCACCCTGCCGATATAAATTCGATAACATAAACTACCGTTTAGTCTTGTCCTGGAAGCCGTGCAGTGTACATGGGGGAGGCCTGTCTAAGACAGTTTAGCTTGCCAAGTAAAATTTCTCTTCAAGACACTTTGAAATGAGACACACATATAAGAAGCTATATTCACTAGTAACCAAAAATATGAAGTATACTAGCTTTGGCTTGGTATGTTCTGGCTTGTAGCTCAAGACCTTGGCTGGCAGTTACATGCCCAGTTCTAAATACAAAGCCTAAGTCCATACTGGTTAATCTGACTGCAAGTAGGCATCACATTTACAAGCCATACCTCAGACACGAAACTGTCAAAGCTGAGACAGATACAAGTAGACACATTGAAAGTTTGATACAGCAAGGAAGGGTATTACATGTACATGTTATAGTAAGGGCACCATATACATGTACATGTATGTCCTTGGATAAAACTTTGACAGGGCTGATTTGAAAGTTGGAATTTGTTCAAGGTTGATTTTTAGAACTGAAAGTTGCAATTTTCTTGCTTATGTGACTTTGTAACAAGTATCTGGGTCATTCTGCCTTTTGAAAATGTTACACTGAAAACAAATAGATAACAAAAAAAATTTATCTTTGAAAACTGACCAGTATGAAAATCTGCTGCCTTTGTTCTGAAGGATAGACTGTCCAGGGTTTTTATAAGTTTATGGGCCAATTCACTATTCAATCTGCTGGGAGGGTTACAGTGGGAGCACTTCCTTATTGTTTTTACCCAGGGTAAATACTGGCCGTTTTAAAACATTTGAAAATAAACAAACTAGAATCGAAGGGAAAAGTTCGTTGAAATAAAATAAAATTATCGTATTTACATACATTAAATGGTGATTTTTGTGCTAAATGGATGACATTTTCGGATTTCGTTAAAAAGTCGATAATTTACGGAATTTCGCAGTGCCATATTTTAGCCTATCACCGAGCAAACCTGGCTACACATATTACGCAAGATCACTGATTTTTTATATTTTTCGACGACCAGGAATAAACTGAAAAATCGTGCTTTAGGGATTTTTAATTTCTGACTTAAAGTATAGGTTTCTCGACAAATAGGTGAAAAAATCGAATTATTGCTTTATTTGCACTTAATTGCCCATACTTCAAAATCAAGAGCATTTTTTAAAAATCCCTAAAGCACGATTTTCGGGACAACCGTGACAGTCATTTTGAGCCAAAAGGGGGGTTTATTTGACTCTCCATGCTTGCAGACTTGAACGAGTTTTGCAGACGTCATATCGCCCGAAACTGTGCATTGTGTTATTCATACTGGTGTAAAGAATCATTACAGAATCCAAGGTCACCCAAGGATACGACAGTAGATTCGCTACATGTTACATACCCACCAAAAATTGATAGCGGACATGTACTGTCCTGCAACTGTTTGAATCTATAGAAAAGTATTGTTTTTTTATCTGTTGCGAGTCACTCAGGAAGAAGGGCTTGTTTTGCCACTTTATTGCAAATGACCGCAGGTGACCCCGAAATGGAACGCGTGTTCGATTCGAATGGCCCAGATCGAACATGAATGATTCTATGAAATGTGGGAACTTTGCAGCCCAGATTTTACCACCGTAAAAATCAGCTTTAAATCATATGATGTCACAGGAAGAAACCATGTGTTATGTGAAGCCTTAATGTTATAAAAGTGCAAACACATATATATGTCATCATATACAGATCGGTTGTCACATAAAGAATGGGCAGCGTCCAAGTGCAAAGCCAAGCATCTTTATAGATGAAGTGTGAACAGTAAAAGTAAAAAGTTAAACGATCTTCATGCTTACACTAAGACAAACTTTAAGTTGTTACCTCGGCAAAAATTACCTGCATAAAAGTTCCTCAGTAGTACCAAGGAAAGTTGTATGTGGTAAAACTATAATTTTGTTTTGCATTAGCAGTTAGAATCAATGTATCTACGTTTAGTCATTGGAGGAAGGAACCTATTAATTTATACCTCTAGGGTTAGTATAGTATTTTAAAATTTATTACGATATGATATCGTAATATATCGATAATTGTAAATCGTCTGTATTGCAAGTATGGGTGTTTTCATTGTTTTCAAACATTAAGGGAGGGCATTTCTTGACATATCCAATTCATCAAGGCTATTAACAGTATGTTATGTTTTTATAAAGTACGGGTACGTGTATTTAATTTATCTGAGTTGAGGGCGGCTCATGATAAGAAGGACTCGCTGCGAATGAAACAGCAGAAAGCAGCAGGGAATACACCAGCAATACGCTTAGTATTCGTTGGAAGTGCGTTAGGCATCTGGTGGGCATACGCCGAGCGCGTTCGGAATCCACTTGGCTTTTAGGCTTGGTTATTTATCGCATTTATTTGCTACCAAAAGGAAATTGTCTTGGAAAAGCGTGCTAACTGCATTGACATATGCTAAAGATTGCAAACAAACAATGACTCATTTTTTTTACCATAAAATCATGTCATACCTTTTAGCTATTGGTAAAAATGTGCTGGCACCCCCTCTAACCCATGTTTTTACCAAAAGGTCTATCACATATTTACCTTCTGGTAAAATATGTGCTAGCACTCCCTCTAACCCATTTTTTTTACCAAAAGGTCTATCACATATTTACCTTCTGGTAAAAATGTGCTAGCACCCCCTCTAACCCCATTTTTTTAACGTGACGGTAACCATACAGTGGATTGAACTAGCCTTTAGCACATTTTTTTTACCAAAAGGTAAGCTGGTGATGGACCTTTTGGTAAAAAAAATGTGCTAAAGGCTGGTTCAATTCACTGTATGGTTACCGTCACTCCCACGAGATTTATAGTTGTAGTTCTGGCACGCCTCTAAGAAAATATACACACGGAAAGGAGCATTGAAAGTGGGCCACTGTCTCTTGGCCTACGTAACCCGCTAATATTTCTATGAGTCTATAATATACTTGGATGATTCTCACGCGGGTTTTAGGTGTACCACATCTGTGACAGTTGCCCACTTTCAATGCTCCCTTCCGTGTGTATATATTTTCTTAGAGGCGTGGCAGAACTAAAACTTTAAATCTCATAGGATAGACTTCTCCGTTCTTTTTTAATATCGATGACAACAAATCTAGGCTACCACAAGCACACACACAATCCCTGCCGTTTTTGTTTGTTTGCTTCGCATAACTGGTAAACCGGCTTTAGGCGTAACACACCAGTTTTGTACATGTAGGTACCACTCACAGCGGGAAGGTCCCCTACTCTTTTCGATAAGTGCGGTGGGATCTTTAACGTGCGTGGGGTGGAGCTCTACCCAAACACGGGACCTTCATGTAACGTCCTATCCGAGGGACGTCCCTAACCGGAGCTAGGTACTCATTTCCACCTGAGTGAAGCGAGTCGTGTAAAGTGCTTTTCCCAAGAGCACAAGATCGGTGACACGGGTAGGATTTGAACCCGGGTGAGCGGAACGCGCTACCGACTGTGCCACACGACCCCACGAGTGACGTTAACCATACAGTGAATTGAACCGGCCTTTAGCACATTTTTTACCTTTCGGTAAAAAAAAAATGGGTTAGAGGGGGTGCTAGCACATTTTTTACCAAAAGGTAAATAGGTAAAAGACCTTTGGTAACAAAATGGGTTAGAGGGGGTGCCAGCACATTTTTTTACCACAAGGTAAATATGTGATAGACCTTTTGGTAAAAAAAATGGGTTAGAGGGAGTGCTAGCACATTTTTTACCAGAAGGTAAGTTGGTAATAGACCTTTTGATAAAAAAATGGGTTAGAAGGGGTGCCAGCACATTTTTTCCAGAAGGTAAATATATGATAGACCTTTTGGTAAAAAAATGGGTTAGAGGGGGTGCTAGCACATTTTTTTTACCAAAAAAGTAAATTGATGATAGACCTTTGGGCAAAAAAATGGGTTAGAGGGGGTGCCAGCACAATTTTTTTACCAGAAGGTAAATATGTGATAGACCTTTTGGTAAAAATATGGGTTAGAGGGGGTGCTATCACATTTTTAACGGAACTGTATTACATAATAGCACTATGTCCTAAAAAATAAACTACTGTACAAAAAAAAAACATTTAACACAACTTTTTTGTCTGAACACGTTTTTCACCTACAAATGAAAATACGTACTAAATAAACGTATTAAATAATCAAGTCTTGGCTTTTGCAATTCATGCCAATGCCATACGAATGCCAGATGCAATCTATGCGCTGCAAGAAATACGCCCTAAAAATATGGTATATTTATCGGTAGTCGATTAGGCATGCGGTGGACATACGTTAAATGCGCCCAGAATACGCTTGGCCTGCGCAATGCATACAAAAACCATTTGGATGTCATACACAATCGATACGCTGAATTCGTTATTTATACGCTACATGTGCGGCACAGCAATTATGCATTTTGTGGGTACCTCATAATTTGGGTACCTCATAATTTTCTGTGCGTAACCCATACGCATTAGCAATGCGCAGAAGTGCAAAGTGGCACTAAGAGTTAACCTGTCCTTTTCGTGCTGATTTTTAAGTAAATGTTTGGAATCAAATCTGTCGGAGGTGTGCAACCAGAAACGGTATATTTAACTTCACTACTCACCATCTTTCTCCACATGCCATGCGTAAAGCAAAAGGTCAATGACGCCTTCGCTACTTTTGCTATGATTTTTTTATCACCACCAAATACAAGCAATAAGGAAAAAAAGTACAACCTACATTTTGCAGGAAAACCTTAATAAATCTTCGGTAAAAGCAACCTATATCTGGCAACATATCACGTTTACCTTTCTGCAGTAGAAAGTATCATGACGGGTTCCTCTGGAGGCCCTGTGACGTCACGGGACTACTACAGTAACTATGGCAACAATGGAAACGCCAGGTGGTTGATCACTGTACCAGAAGGAAGCATCATTCGTCTCACGTTCGCCAGGTTCTATACTGAGAGTTCTGACTTTCTGACTATCTACGATGGAGCCAGCGATGATGCTACAGAGTTACGAAGGTAATGCCCGTAGCACATAGCCAACACTTTCCAAAGGACTCCACTTTCTGATTTCAAATTACGTACATGTAGCAATGGTAATGATAGATCATTGTTAGTCGAGCCACTAGTTAAAAGCTTTAATTTACTAGTATCATGAATAACGAAAGAATACAGGTCTTTATATTACATTATCATATAGCCAGATGGCGTTGACCAATCAGAAGCCCCCATTCCATATTGATTATGACGTCATAATGTCACAGTTAGCATGATACAAGTATTGCCAGGTGTGTTTATTCTCACAAGTGTGCTATGTTGCACAAAAAAGCACGGCCCGGAGCAAACCATTTGCAGGGGAGTTGACTCTTTTTGCTGCCATTTGTAGCACGTTTCCTTGTTGAATAGAAATGTTTACCGTCTTTTCATCATCCAATTTATTTAGCAATACATAACAAAAGAAAGACCATGTCAATACATGTAAATTTTGAGCAAAAGAAAACATATTTTGCGCCACATTTCTGTATTGAAACATCCAAATGACCTCAGATGACTTCAAATGGAAGCTTGTTCTATTCTTTTGGCCCAAAAAAACCACAAATGGAATACCGGTTCTATTCCGAAGTTCCGGTGAACTCATATGAACTCTGATAGAACAAGTAAAATCATCTCACTAAAGGGCATACAATTTTAGACAATGGTGTGTCAGAATTTGTCATAGAAGAACTGATTGATGCCAATTTAGACTCAATATTTGGGTCCTTGGATTCTGGAAAGATGCACAGGAACAGTGGCCAGCGGACGGGAAGATAGAGGAGTGACTGTAATCGTTTGTTATGTAATTTAGATGTATGTGCTTTACAGGAATGTGTTACTCTCTACTGTGTAAGTTTTGATAGGCTATATGATAACAGCGTTAATGGCCCGCCCTCTCTCGGTGAATATGGTGTGATAAAGCCTTGTCAGTTGCTATAACCACCTCATAAAGCCACCTCGTTCGCTGTCGCTCACTCGATGGCTTTATTCGGTGGTTATAGCAACTGACAATGCTTAAGAATATTGATCATTTATTAATTATACCTGTTCAGGTTATCAGGTAACCATCGTCAAATCAGTCCCATCATCAGCACATCTAACACGATGTTACTGAGGTTCACACCTGACAGCCGTTACCCCAGCTATTGGTTCCAGTTCTCCTACATAAGTAAGGTGTTTGATTACACTTCTCACTTGTTACCGTTCAATTCACTCTGTTTCATGATGTGCTGTTTAATGCTCGGTAATCTCTGTGAAAAAATCTGTTTCCACATATTTGTGGCCGGCAATAGCCTTTACCATGCACCGCGAACCCCGGCAAAATAGTAGCCGTCCAGAGAGAATCCTATTCACGGGTCGCCAAATGGATTCTCTGTGGCAGGCTAACTCCCCTTTATTTCGGCCAATTTCTACTATTTTAAGCGATCTCCTGGTAAACGCTAGCCGACATAACGTGAGAAGGCCTTTATAAATTGGGATGATAGTTAATATGTGCGTAGATCTTAGAAAAGACAAAGTCAAATACGGTTCTCCTTGTGCCTAATCTTTGTGTTGGAATAGAACGTTTTGCATATTTTATTCTGTTTATGCTATTGTCCTGATTTTGCGACCATAATCATGGGAGATTAACTTTTTAAGTCAAGAACAAGTGGTTTAGGTTTGTTCTCCCTTGCAGCTTTATCTGTAAGTTAAATTCAAAGTATGCAAAAAGGACTTACATTGCATAAGTAATGATGTATTTCTGGAAATCCCAGTAGGTTACATAATTAGAATTTATACTTTATGATGAATGGCAGGTGAAATATCTACATATACTAATTTTGCTGATAAGAACTTAATTTGCATAATTTAATATGTCAGTGTGGAGGTCTCTGGCATAAATAATCGTACTCTTTAGGATTTGCATGTGTAAAATTCGAATGATGCAGCATTAACTGCAGGGGAGGAAATTCACAAATCCATTTTTCTTTCAGGCCGTACAGCAGACGAATGCTGGGATCCTGGTGTGCCAACCAATGGGGCAAGAGATAACAACAGTAACTTTACATCAGGACAGACAGTCAGGTTTACCTGTATGGCCGGATATCATCTGTGGGGAACTGCCAATATAACCTGCCAGTCTAACTGGACATGGAGTGATGCTACACCAACTTGTGAAGGTATTAGAAATGCATTATTGACATCAAAGTTAGAGTATCTGCTTTTCTGTATACACCCAAGACCGATAAGGGACTAATGCGACATTGAGTCCTCTAAGGATTAAGTTTACCTTACACACTGATGTCAATATTTAAAGAAATTAATGATTTTTCCTGATTATGTTTCCCTCATCTAACCTGAAAATAACCTCATAATTGTCTAATCATAACAAAATTAGCTTTAAATCGCATGTCATAGGAAGTAGAGATAAGCCATGTATTATGTAAAGCTGTTATCTTAATGTTATAAAAGTGCAAACACATCTGTCACCATATACAGATTGGGTGTCACATAAAGAACAGACAGCGTCCAAGTGCAAAGTAAAGCATCTTTATAGATGAAGCATGAACAGTAAAAGTAAAAAGTTCTAAAACGATCTTCATGCTTACACTAAGACTAAACTTAACCATACCTAGACCGGGGGAGGGGGGGGCTAAAAGTGCCCGCGGCAACTTTGATGTCACCTACCGTCTGAACGGCTAGCCGTAGAACGGCCAAACTTGGTGACATTTCCTAGAATATTGTTGGCAACAATTCTTCATCATTGGAATAAGATAATAATTTTTTGTGTTGCCATGGCAACGGGTTTCTGACAGGCATTTTTTGCTAAATTTAGTACTTTTTGTTTCTAATATTAATAACATCCCATATATTTTTATGTAAATTTTGTCATTAAATATGCATAATTTATGCTAATTTGATGACGTCATTGGCCAAAATCCAAGATGGCGGACCATATCATTAGAACAGGTATATACAGGATATTTTCATTAAAATTTCATCAATACTTCCATTTCTTTTTCCAAAAAAGGTTTAAATGAAGGTCTTAAGTATGTTAACAATGTATTTTAGGCTTCATCATGAAAAAAAACTATTTTTGAAAATTCAAGATTGATGATCCAAGATGGCGGATATCTTAAATATACATGACGTCATTTTATGACGTCATCGGTGTTGCTATGGGCAACATAAGACTTAGTACACCATAATATTCTGTCATAAACTTTTGGTACAGTTATGTTGAATACCATTTACTTTTCAGGGAAAAACCTATTTAGACGGTTTTGGCCAATAAAATCACATAAATGACGTCATAATGACGTCATATAACGTCATAACGGTATAAAAATTGTAGATGTGATAAATTTTCACTATTACACCATTCTCTGAAAATTTGGTGGTCATACGACATACCGTTCGCGAGTTC